CTGAAACATGAACACTGACCTGAGAGCAGCTGAAACATGAACACTGACCGGAGAGCAGCTGAAACATGAACACTGACCTGAGAGCAGCTGAAACATAAACAGTGACCTGAGAGCAGCTGACGACATGAAGCAATAAATCAAAACAGACTAACGACGACAAAGATGAAGCCATAATTCATCACAGACTAACATCGACAGAGATCAAGCCATAGTTCATCACAGACTAACAACGACAGAGATTAATTCATATTTCATCACAGATTAATGACGACATGAAGCAATAAATCAAAACAGACTAACGACGACAAAGATGAAGCTATGATTCATCACAGACTAATGACGACAGAGATCAAGCCATAGTTCATCACAGACTAACAACGACAGAGATTAATTCATATTTCATCACAGATTAACGACGACACAGATGAAGCCATAAATCATAAGAGACTAACGACGACAGAGATGAATCCATAATTCATCACAGACTAACATCAACAGAGATGAAGCCATAGTTCATCACAGACTAAGGACGACAGAAATTAATCCATATTTCATCACAGAATAATGACTACATGAAGCTTTAAATCATCACAGACTAACAACAACAGAGATGAAGCCATAATTCATCACAGACTAATGTCGACAGAGATTAATTCATTATTCCTCACAGATTCATGATGACAGATATGAAGCCATAATTCATTACAGATTAATGATGACAGAGAAGCAGCCATAATTCATCACAGATGAACAACGACAGAGATGAATCAATAATTCATCACAGATAAATTACGACAGAGATGAAGCCATAATTCATCACAGATTAACAATGACAGAGATGAAGCCATAATTTATGACAGACTAACGTCAACAGAGATGAATCCATAATTAATCACACACCAACGACGACATAGATGAATTCATAATTCATCAGTGAGAGCGCACGCTGTAGCTGCACTCACACAGAGACATGTAGGAGGAGATGTATGAAGGCAGCAGACCAAGAAGTGATTTAAAGATGAAAATGTACTAATGGGAGAGTCTGCATGAAGTTAATGATGACCAGTTAACCAGTGAATACAGGGTGCAATGATGGGTACGGTAGTTGCAGCCAGTTATGAATCTTAATGCACCGTGATAAGCAGCATCCAGCATCTGTAGAGTGCTTGTAGGAGCGTTCATGTAATGTCACCATAGTCAATGGAGGGAAGGAAAGTAGCAGTTACAAGGTGTTTTCTAGCATTCACAGAAAAGAAAAGCTTTACAGAGAGTGGTGAAGGCTGCACAGAAGTCTTCTGGAGTCAGTCTCCCCACCATCACAGATATCTACACCTCCAGATGTAGGAAGAGGGCCACCTGCATCATGAAAGACCCCACTCACCCAGCACACACACTTTTTGCCCTCCTCCCCTGCAGGCAGGAGGTTGAGGAGTATTAAGTGTAGAACCACTAGACTGAGGAACAGCTTCTACCCTGAAGCTGTTAGACTCATGAATCTCTAACCAAAAGAAGAGCACCCCCAGAGTATTTAGGGATCATGAACCGAGCCAAACCAGACTACAGGGTCTAAATCCTCTGAGAGAAACCTGAGCCCAATCAATCCTTGATTCTGATTGGACCAGTCAGGACCAAGGTCCCCGTTTGGACAGTTCTGTGAGAACTTTTCAGGACCTGTTTCAAGGTTCAGACTTTGTTTTAGGACTCAGGCTAATGTAGAGAGGAGCCAACGAGGGTCCAAATTCTAAATCTGTTTAAAACCAGCAAAGTCCAGATGTTCAGCAGCATCTGCACTGTTTACAGATGTGCTGTGTCTCTTTAATAAAGATCCTGTTTACTTTGACCAGAAACCTTGACCCTAAGCCTAAAACCAGGTCACAGTCCTTAAACAGTTTTTAAAGGACAGTACACAGTCTTGGGTGAAACTGATCCTGGAGTGGGTCCAGACTCATGGGGTGGGGGGTTTACTGAGCTCCTTCAAACAACTATTTATGGGAAATAAGATCCTTCTTCCTGCCAGTAAACACACCAACACACACACACACACAGTTCATAACAGCTGGAGTCCCTGAACACCTCAGGCTGACAAAGAGTAATCTGATTACTTAGGTCCTTATTAGACTGGTTACTTTAATCCAGTTACATTTCTGTACGGGCTCAGGATGAAAAAAAACTGATCTGTGCGAGATGTTGGTCACAATAAAAACACACGTGACCTGTTTACTGAACTTTGTTTGTTTGTTGTCAGTTAAGTTGGGGAGTTAGAAATATCCTCTATCCGTCTGTCCAGTCGTGCATCTTGTGAGCACGATAACTTAAAACACAAGTGAGGGACCTACTGTACTTCTGTTTCAGTGCGTGGCTGCATGGCTGCATCTACGTGTAATAAAAGTTCCTTTTTAAAAACTAGGTGGCTATGTGAAAATCCAAGATGGCTGCCTCCAAGATAAATGTAAAGCGACCACCTCGATGATCTGAAGAAGCTGCTGTTTACTTTTGATTTTGCTTCAAAGTCAAGTTCTCTCACATGGTCACTTTGTGGGGCCGAGGCACCGAATACTACAGAACATCTGGCCCAAACACTAAAGAACATGTGGGCCAAACACTACAGAACATCTGGAACACAACAGAACACCTGGGCAAAACACTAAAGAACGTGTGGGCCAGACACCTGAACAGAAGATATGGAAAAGACACTACAGAACATCTGGAACAGACACTACAGAACATCTGGACCAAACACGACTGAACATCTAGGCCAAACACTAAAGAACATGTGGGCCGGACACCTGGACAGAACATCTGGACCAAACACTACAGAACATCTGGGCCAAACACTAAAGAAAATGTGGGCCGGACATCTGGACAGAACATGTGGACCGGGCACCTGGAGAGAACATCTGGATCGGACACAACTGAACATCTAGGCCAAACACTAAA